ACAGAAACGTGTGACACCAGCCCTGGAGTTGGTGTGGGGCTGCGCACATTTCCACGTTCAGTAGATTTTTCATACATCCGGAGATTTGCGTGGAAAATGGCGTACGCAAGGTTTTTGTGCGTACGCACCATTGATACATGAGGCCACTGGTCTGTAGATGAGTGTAAACTGCTGAGTCCTGGCCTGTAGATGAGTGTAAACAGCAGATTGCTGGCCTGTAGATGAGTGTAAACTGAAGATTCCTGATCTGTAGATGAGTGTAGACTGCAGAGTCTTGGCCTGTAGATGAGTGTAAACTGCAGAGTCTTGGCCTGTAGATGAGTGTAAACTGCAGAGTCTTGGCCTGTAGATGAGTGTAAACTGCAGAGTCCTGGCCTGTAGGTTAGTGTAAACTGTAGATTCTTGGCCTGTAGCTGTTTCTCTTCTGTGTTGGCCCCTTTTTTGAACAGTGGTTGCTTTGTTTTCCCTGATGTATAACTGATCACAGTCCTCCTGGCACTAACAGCATACACAATATTACTCTGTGCTGGGGGATCGGATCTTTGGGACGAACCAATCTTTGTCATAACGTGTTTTAGGGTTTGAATGTCACTGAGACGTCATGTTAGAGAAAAAACGTCTCAGTTTTTCTGAAACTCCTACAACATACGGAATGACTACTGGTCTGGGCTTGGGTTCTTCATTTTCACCCGGTGGTTGACTGTAGTCCTGTTTGGGTTTCTTGTCTGTTTTGAGGAAATCCTAGTTACGATTACCACATTGCTGCAGGATCTGTCTTTTATGCGATTTCTCCTTCTCCCTGGCTCCTGGGTGTGTGGGGACACTGCTCTGTGGTACRGAGTCCCGATGAAGCATAACTTCAAGCAGAATCAAAAAGAGTAGAAACATGGAGCTGCAGTCATGTGGTCAGACCTGTTCTGATTTAACCCAGACAGGCTCAGAACTTTAAGTGTTTTGGTTCTTTTTGCAGCCACCGTGGTGAAGACTGAGGCTGGCTCTCTGCCAGAAGGGAAGGTGAAGATCAAATTGGAGCACGATGGGACATTACTGGATGTAGATGAAGATGACATTGAGAAGGTGAGTAGAACACAAATCGACAGAGCTCTTAGATTATTTACAGAGATGGAGCTATAATTTAACATGCTGGTAGCTGAGAGTCATCCTTAACACACACCCTGAGCTCTAACACATCTATACATCACATGGTGTCACACATAACGTCATTTTAACTCCAGAGTCCATCTGGATGCTTCTCCATCCTGCTGGGAGACTCCATAAAGACGAAGTAGGCCAGAGAGAGGGTTCAGGAGTTCAGAGGGGTTCTGTCATGAGTCTGCAGCTGAGAGGTTTGTCAGTGTTCAGTACTGCTCACAGATCATTTTACATGAACACTGGACCTTCTGTGGTTCCTAATGCCAGGGACTTTCTCTGCTCAGGTCAGTCTGACTGTGTCGGTCATCAGAAACTGTCTGAGAAAACCAAGTTAAAAACTTCCAGCAGTACTCAAAATCTTAGCTTACAGCTTCATTTTTTGTTTATTTATTAACCTTTATTTGACCTGGATAAGCCCATTGAGATCACAGACCTGTTTTGCAAAASAGGCCTAAAGAGAACCTATTGTACATATTTTTGGTCTGTGGTGGGAAACCAGAGTACCCGGGGAAAACCTGCACAAGAACAAGGAGAACATGCAAACTCCACACAGAAAGACCCCAGTTCTGAACTGAGGATCGAACCCAGGACCTTCTTGCTGTGAGGCATCAGTGCTAACCACTTGTGCTGTAACAGTTTAATTTGATAGTAAACTATTATTTTCATTATAACCCCAAAAGCCCAGCTGATGTGACAGAAGCCATGAAGGTCCAGTTTTGTCTCATCAGTCTCAGAAACTTTAGGACCTGTCATCCTGCTTTTTTTTAGTACTTTCAATCTGATTCTTTTTCTTCTGTTTTTGCAAACAGTGGATCTTTTTCCCTGAAACCCTTTATAATTCAAAATGAGACAAATGGTGTGATCAGAAAGTATGAATGTACGTTGACCTTGAAGTTTAGATTGAACAGTTTCCTCTGATCAACCTGGGGTTTCATGTCTTCTTTTGTCCTGGGAGGATGGGTACAGTCCTGTGAACCTGATATTTGTTTATTATCTTGTCAGCTGTGATCCGAGGAACATGAATCATCTTAGAGATTATCTCGTAGCCTTTATCTTTAATGTATATCTAATTAATATCTGTAATCTTCATTCTGAGCTTATCAGTAAAGGTGAGTTTATCTCACCTTTACAACAACCCAGAGCCTGTTTGTTCCCTTCAAACACATTGAACAGCTGATGAAAAGCTATAAGCCACATTTGATACTTATTATAATAAAACATGACTATAGACCTAAATTCCCTACAAAGATCTTTCTAAAGTAATTCAGCACATCTTCGTAAAATAAAGAGATGATTTAGTCTGTCAAAAGCTGCAGATATGAACCTGATACTTGTTTATTATCTTGTCAGCTGTGATCCGAGGAACATGAATCAGTTTAGAGATTATTTCGTAGCCTTTATCTTTAATGTATATCTAATTAATATCTGTAATCTTCATTCTAAAATTGCCAAGAAATTTGAAAATTTTCATCTGGAATTACACTAAATTGACATGTTTGTGTATGTTGTCCTAATGGTTAGCAAAACTCACAAGGAGTTTGAAAACCATTTCACATCTGTTGCACAAAATTCACTTGACATTCCCATGACGAAGATTATAATCTTTTACTAGTCTGGCTGCTTGATGGATGGTTGGATGGATGGATGGATGGATGATTTGATTGATTTTATTTATTTAACA